GTCCGAGCCGCTCAGGCCCAGGGATGCTTTTACTCTACTACACTATGCATGACTGGGAAAGTCATGGGAGTTCGCTATTACTCACACTATTGGGAATATACTAGAAAGACACTATAACCGCACTAAAATACTAAAAGAAAGATGAAGTAATATCCCGAAGTAAATAAGTATCTAATACTAAAGGATGCTGCACCACTATTACATACTCTAAGAATAACTCACTATATTACATTACTTAATGTTCTGGAAAATATGGGATTTTCTAGGTTTCACCACTATTTATGATTTCAAACTTCAGTTTTCATAATAATGACTCTAATGCTTTTTATACAAGTACTCACACTATAACTCTTATGAACTCACCAGCTTTATGCTGATATTCTTTTCAAAATAACTTGTATCTTCAGGTCAAAGATAGACAGGTACAGCAGCAATTTTTGGAGAAGATGGAGGATACAAGACCCATCTCTTATTTTTGTTTACTTTTGGTGTTTGTCAAACATTACAAAACACACTTGTAAATACTCTTACTATGTAAATGAAATGGTTGTATGGTTCTTGTTTCTACTATTATACAATTGTGATGATACTGTACACTACGTCATCCACCCCGAAACGTATTCCGCCGTTATCGGTTTTGGGGTGTGACACCATATCGACATTATTATGAATAGAAAAGATACTACTAAGAATGAGTTGTCATATGGAAAATATGGAAATGTTTCCATATTGGATGGACGATGTCGACATTATTACGAATAGATAAGATTCTATTAAGAATGAGTTGTCATATGGAAAATATGGAAGCGTGTCCATATTGGGAATTGAATATTGAAAAACTACGTCTAGATTAGAAACTTTTATGCAAAAGGATGTTCAAAGGAATGTACTTTGAATGAGAGACATCATATCTAAGGAGTTGGCTTGTAACAATCTCCGATAAAAGACTTTGTAATTTCATTGGCAATAGTCTTTGTGACTTTGGTGTAGTGATATTACGAAAGGATCATTGCATAAAATGTTAGAATCTAGCATATTCTATAAGTAGCAAGAATTTGATATTCTTACACTTATGAAAAAGGATTAGTAGTTGTGAAATGAGAATGATTGGAAATGTGTTCAATTTGATCTATTTCACAAAGTAAGAACCATAGGTTATCATTGTGTGCATGCTAGGAGCATGGGACAAGTGTAGTAATAATTCAAGTAAGAAGTTGATTACCCGAAACGACAAATAATGAGTAATCGATATGGTGATAAATAAAAGGTGTTTTATTTATACTCAAAGGTTTGAGGCCATATGGGATTAGTATTATTCTTGTGTTTCACTTTGCATGTTTTGACTTCCTGGATAATTTAATTGGTTGAGAACAGTCAAATTATTCGAACGAGCCATAGTCGTTCATATGTTGGAAGTAGATATGAAATGAAGACTGTCGGGGATTGGTGTGTGGATTGTCTAAAAGGGTATTAGACATAAGCATATGTTTGCTGCAACGTTCATGGGTGCTTATGAATAAGATTTGAGCATTGGATTAAACCCACGCTCACTTGGATGACTCCATGAATTGTATCACGAGTGATTGGTGAGACGATAACATCTTATATTCTTGAAACAGAGATGTGTGAGTTGTATCTTGCAAATCAGTTGCACATTCATAATATGTAAACGCATTAGTAACTTGGTGTTATAAAACATATTGTTGTGTGTGATTCGGTGAGTGAGTGCAAGCGAGCGTTGAATCAAAGTTTATCCGTTCCTTTTATCCCAAGTAAGATAAAAGCGATATCTTTGGGTCCCTCGATGATTTAGTGATGACAAACGTAAATGTTAGGCCGGGCTAGGGCTAATTTGATTTGTTCAATTAGTCAGTCATCATAAATCGAAAGTCGAGAAATAGTACAAAGAGAATGATTAGAAATCATGTCTCATACGATATCTAGAATGGAGGAATATATGATCCCTTATCTAAAGGACACGCGTATCTGATAGGATCAGAGTTGACAGCGGCTTTGGAAAGCTACGATTGCAGATCAGGATCTGAAGTCATACGTGGAATAGTTATTAGACTTATCAAAGTGGGAGACTGTTGGATTAATGTCTAAGTCCATAACTATTTTGGTATGTACTTGACCCGATGGTGCATGGTCATTTTGGGTTGCCTTCATCAAAGCAACTTGATAGAATGAATTATGGAGAGAAAGGATCAAATATAATTTATTAATATATTATGAGAATAATATATTAAAGGAGAAATCATATTGTTTAATTAATATTAGTCAATAATTACTTGGTAATTAGTTTTGTGACTAAAAGAGATTAATTAAACTTAAGGGACTGGAATTGTAATTATAAGATAATTGAAATTTGGGCTATGGATTGCCTTATATTAAGGAGTGGACGAATTCTATGGGGAAACCCATAAGAAATCACCCAAGGCCTTAAGGAAAGGGTGTACATGGGTTGCTTAGGGCTTAAGCATCCAAATTAGGGTTTTCTTGTTAGATAACCCTAATAGCCTAACTATATATACATCCCTTATGACCCAAAAACGTGGCTAAGCATCCTTTTAGGGTTTCACACATTTTAGGGCAGCCTCCATCCTCTCTCCTTATCATCCTCTTGCTCTTGGTGTTTGTGAACCATTAGAGGAGTGACATTTGTGACTCTAAGCTTTCTAAAGTCAATACAAGGAGGAATTGAGATTGTTATTGCTACATAATAATCAAGGTATGATCTTAAACCTATTCTCATGTTAATATGATTACTTGAATGCTAGAATTAGGGTTTATAGTCTTGGATAACTTTCATGTACAATAGAGTAACCTAGATCCAAGCATTAGGGTTTGTATGAGTATATATGATGTTCTTATGACCAAAACCCATCATATATATATATATATATATATATATATATATATATATATATATATATATATATATATATATATGCATGTTAATATGCATGAGAATATGCATATAATGCATATTAATATGCATATATGTTATAAATATAAGTGTACTCTTATGTTAGTATTTTTCTAAACAATAACGTATATTTCTTGATATAAATATATCTGGTAGCACGGGAGTCTATCCACACATTTAATTTTTAACAATTGGAACTCAGGTTTAGACCATATATATATATATATATATATATATATATATATATATATATATATATATATATATATATATATATATATATATATAGGGAAATGATCAAATGAGAACACCTAAAAGGTTGAGAATGCGAAAACAAATATATTCATTTGTGATTTTATATATTCATTTGTGGAGAAATGATAAATTTTTACGCACAATCAACATGAATATACTTTTTCTCTTCAATTGAAATTAAAGGCGTAAAAATTTATCATTTCTCCACAAATGAATACATGGAATCTGAAATGAATATACTTTGTTCTCGCGTTCTCAACCTTTTGGTGTTCTCATTTGATCCTACTCCTATATATATATATATATATATATATATATATATATATATATATATATATACATATATATATATATATATATATATATATATAGGGAGAGGATAAAATGAGAGCACCTAAAAGGTTGAGAACGCGAAACAGTTCTGGACCAATCATTTTATAAGGATATATTAGTAACTTTATATAAATATTAATTATTGATTTCCAAAAATCTAGGGATAATGATTTTAATTACCTAATAAAATTATATTCCTTTTAGTTAATTATATATATATATATATATATATATATATATATATATATATATATATATATATATATATATATATATATATATATATATTTTCTATTATGATTTTTCCCAAAAATTATTTATGTCTATTTCAAAAAAATCACCTAAAAAATTAATATTTCCTTTTATTTTAAATCTGAAATGAAAATCTTAAAAAAAAAATATATTATTTTCTACTATTTCATGTTTTTGTTTTTCAAAAAAAAAAATAGAAATCCAATCGCAAATCAATACACTTCCAATCATAAATGAAAACACATCAAATTACAAATAATTCAACGTATTTTTCATAAATTGAAAAAAAAAAGTGTAAAAATTATCATTTTTTCATAAAATGAATTCCTCTAATCATAAATAAATACACTCATTCACATAAATACACTAATATCCATAAATAAATATAATCATTCACACATGAATACATTGCAATTCACAAATGAATACACTGTTATTTATAAATTAATACACATTGTATCATAAATGAATACTCGTGTTATTCATAAATGAATACAACAATTCACACATAACTACAATGTTATTCATAAATGAATACACGTACTATTCATAAATAAATACAACCATTCACGCACCCCCTTCAAGAAATTATTACCAAAAAATTCGAAAATTAGGATTGTGTCTTTCCATTGGTAGACCTTGCTGTCGCTTTTTTGGTTTGCAAAATTTCTCCCATAAGGTGGGAAATTGCCCCTGAAAGGGGTCAGAATGTAGTTGTTGTTTCCAGGATCAGAAGTGAAGTCTCCGAACACCAAAATAGCAGAAACCTTGTGGTTTTGAGTAGACGTTTTCACGATAAGATCTTGTGGTTCATAAAACTTAATTCCATAGCTAGATTCATGTATGAATGGAAAGAAATACGAGTAAAGAAATGTAGTTGATTAAACTTCATTGATTTACAGTCAAAATAAAAAGAAAAGAAAAGAGAATCATTACCGATCAAAGCAACTGCCCCATCGAGACCCCTTCCATCATTCCAGTCGAAAATGCTCTCACAGACATTTTATTGAGCACCTTATGTGCACAGTTCATCACCTTTTTTTAAAATAAAAAAAAAACACATATGTTGGATCCATCTCTCCCGCGCTCAATCATCCAGGCAATTTTCTCATATGATTTTTGAACGAATGTATCACATTGGGATCAGACAGAACAGTTTATCAATGTGATTGATCACATGTAGATTTTAAATCTATAGACAAAAACCTAAGAGAGATTTCCGCAATCGAGACTAACAAACCGCAAATTCATGAAATAGAAAGTCGATTATCAGGATCAAAAACCAAATTTCAGAATATAAACACACAATTGAATCGAATAACAACAGCAAATCGAACGTACCTTTCTTTGATCGGGATCTGTAGAGATATGGGGAAGAAGCGATTGTGAGTTGGTTGGATTGATTCGAAGCAGATGAAGCATGGATGAGCCGATGAGGAGGCGGAACTAACCATAGCACCACGGCGAAAACCCTCATCGGAGCTGTTGTTTCCGCTTGCCTTGCTCCATCGGGCCAAATGTTCTCCTCCCCTTCGCATATGCTACCGGAATCGAAGGAGAAGCAGCCAAAAACTGCTTGATCAGCCCTTGCTGCACCTACCGAGACCAATGGTGATGGGAACAGATCTTCGTGGTGGGTTGTAGGTGATGCCCACATCGATGATGGCGAGAGTTTTAAGAAACCCTAAAAAGAACAGGTGGAAATATATACACGATAGATTAAAGGAAATATATGAACGGGTGAGAAATTATAGGAGATAGTAAAGTTGAAATTCTTGTTATGTTCTTCTAACCATTTAAAAGTTATATTTTAATGCCAACAGTTTAAGAATTTTTCATAAAACCCCCTTTCAATAATGACCTTAGATTTAAGTATTTAAATGGTCTACATTTGTTCTCGCGTTCTCAACCTTTTTAGTGTTCTCATTTGATCCTACTCCTATATATATATATATATATATATATATATATATATATATATATATATATATATATATATATATATATATATATATATATATATAACTTAACAAACCCAACTTTATGCAACTTGGAACTTTCGGTTCTTACCAAGTACAAATACAAAACTGTCTCCCATTTCCACCCAAATCATTGGAATCAAATTCCAATTCCAATTCGTTAATCCTCCTAACAATTGTTAAAAACTAACGAAATTTTTTTGGAGAAAAGAACTCAGTCCCCATTATCTGGTAATCAAACACCTCAATTTCATTCCCACCCACCAAATTCTTCTTAATTTGTTCAAAACTCTAGTGGGTCCCTAAAATTTGCACGTTTTGACCACAAGCCTCAACTTCATTTCTTCTGCAATGAGTGCAACCATCTCTATATTAAATAAACAATAGCTCTCATTTAAATTAATTGTTCATCCAACGGATGCATATAACGAAAATTTTTTGGAGAAAAGAACTCAGTCCCCATTATCTGGTAATCAAACACCTCAATTTCATTCCCACCCACCAAATTCTTCTTAATTTGTTCAAAACTCTAGTGGGTCCCTAAAATTTGCACGTTTTGACCACAAGCCTCAACTTCATTTCTTCTGCAATGAGTGCAACCATCTCTATATTAAATAAACAATAGCTCTCATTTAAATTAATTGTTCATCCAACGGATGCATATAACGAAAATTTTTTGGAGAAAAGAACTCAGTCCCCATTATCTGGTAATCAAACACCTCAATTTCATTCCCACCCACCAAATTCTTCTTAATTTGTTCAAAACTCTAGTGGGTCCCTAAAATTTGCACGTTTTGACCACAAGCCTCAACTTCATTTCTTCTGCAATGAGTGCAACCATCTCTATATTAAATAAACAATAGCTCTCATTTAAATTAATTGTTCATCCAACGGATGCATATAACGAAAATTTTTTGGAGAAAAGAACTCAGTCCCCATTATCTGGTAATCAAACACCTCAATTTCATTCCCACCCACCAAATTCTTCTTAATTTGTTCAAAACTCTAGTGGGTCCCTAAAATTTGCACGTTTTGACCACAAGCCTCAACTTCATTTCTTCTGCAATGAGTGCAACCATCTCTATATTAAATAAACAATAGCTCTCATTTAAATTAATTGTTCATCCAACGGATGCATATAACGAAAATTTTTTGGAGAAAAGAACTCAGTCCCCATTATCTGGTAATCAAACACCTCAATTTCATTCCCACCCACCAAATTCTTCTTAATTTGTTCAAAACTCTAGTGGGTCCCTAAAATTTGCACGTTTTGACCACAAGCCTCAACTTCATTTCTTCTGCAATGAGTGCAACCATCTCTATATTAAATAAACAATAGCTCTCATTTAAATTAATTGTTCATCCAACGGATGCATATAACGAAAATTTTTTGGAGAAAAGAACTCAGTCCCCATTATCTGGTAATCAAACACCTCAATTTCATTCCCACCCACCAAATTCTTCTTAATTTGTTCAAAACTCTAGTGGGTCCCTAAAATTTGCACGTTTTGACCACAAGCCTCAACTTCATTTCTTCTGCAATGAGTGCAACCATCTCTATATTAAATAAACAATAGCTCTCATTTAAATTAATTGTTCATCCAACGGATGCATATAATTTTTTATAATGGATATTATGGTGATTAATGTTATGCAAATTATATAACTCTCCTTAGGGACTGTTCGGCAAAATCTGAATATTTAAAATCTGAATATTTAAAATCTGAATTTTTAAGATGTCTGAATTTCTAAGAGGGTCTGAATTTTTAAGATTTGGATTTTTCAATGTAGTTTGGTTAGAACTTCTGAATTATTGTGCTGAATTATGAAAATGACCAATTTACCCTTTTATATTATTTTTTGCTGAATAATAACAAAAAAAAAAGTTAAACACCATACAAAATCCAAATTAATATAAATCAAAATTTATCTTCATTAATCTGTAATTATCTTTTGAGATCAATTTACAAAAATAACAATCATTTTTTGTATGTCCCAAGGGCTTCAAAGTTAAAATACAATATATTTGACATTGAAGGTCAAAAATTTTCCCACCGAGTTATGAGCTTTGATCTTTTAAGATGGGGTATACTTTAATTTCAGCTTTGAGTCTTCAGTATATCTATATCCAACTAGCGAACCAAAAACTTTTTACTTCCTGCACACTTAAGAAACAACCATACAATTTATCACTCTTTTATCAACAAAAAATTAACCAAAACGTTTAAGCACAAATCAATATAAATCATCCATTTAAGCAAGAAATTGCCAATTAGCAACAAGTACACAATTTAATAATCAAAGTTCCTAACGAAAATTTCAGAATCCAAGTTCATAATTGTTTCAAGTATTAAGATTTCAGCATCAGGTTATCAAACAGATCAGAACAAAACATTCAAGAAAAAACAAATTCAAACCTTTATAATTAGATTTCAGATTTCACCATTTCAATAGTTTGAAACCACATATGAATTCAGAAAAAAAAAAAAAAAAAAAAAAAAAAAAAAAAAAAAAAAACATAAGAAAATCACGAATTCAACATCAGATTGCAAACCACACATGAATTAAGAAATAAAGGAAAAGAAAAAAAACAAATTTTCTATAAAAACAGGAAAAGCATCGAGTTTCAGGGGGAACACAATAGATGGAGCGGAGGTGCTTGTGTGCATTGATGAGAAGAGAGAATCGGAGGAGGCGTGAGTTTGAGGAGAAAAAAAAACGATTCATTGACCAATTCATTCATAAAAACAGAAAAAAGTCGAGTTTCGGGGGGGGGGGGGGGGAGAAGGAAGAAGAACGAACTTGGATTGTCGGAATTGAAGGAGACACTGTTGCAGGCGTCGGAGGAGAAGGCGACGGCGTCGGAGGCAGCGTTGTTGGGGTACGGCGGCATCGTCACAGGCAGTCGATTATTGGAGATCGATGAGGGAGAAGAAGCAGGTGAGAAAGAGGAGAAAGGGGGCGAGAAAGTGAGTACGCGTTTTGGGGTTAAGGGCATAGGGTGTCTTTTATTTTTTCAGATGGAGTTTCAAATCTGATTCAGTATGTGCTAAAATTCAGATTCAGACACTTAAGAGGTAAACAAACAGTCTGAATCTTAAAGATTCAGACCTACCCCTTATTAAGAGGTATTAAGATGCAAACAAAAAGACCCTTAGTATGTCATTTGTTAGTTGTGAATAAGTAAAGAATCACCATTTTATAGTTTACATTTTTTTTTCTTTTTTGCTCCCTGTATCTACTTGTTCATCACTTAATAAGAAAAATAATTGTTGCTCATCAAATCCTTCTAAACTTCATACACAAACAAATAAACACATTGATATTTTGTTTCCGTTGGCACAATAATCATAAACAAAATAAAAATTTAAAAAAAAAACGATCAAATACATAAGATTTGTCAGAGTGGTGGATGTGGGCAACGCCCCACACGCGTTACTAGGAGAAAAAGAAGAAAAATTGCGTTATTAGGAGTTATGGTGGTAACGGGAAGCAACGGGAATACCTTTAACATAGAATAACATTGGAGGGGGCGGTGTTCATTGGTGTTATTAGGGGAGTGGGTGTTGCCCACTCCGAGTAGCTTTAAAGTTTACTTAATATTAATTGCGAACAATTAATGCAACAACCTAATCAGATAGTTTCCAAAAAATAATCTGATCGGATCATTGATCAACAATGATTAAGTCGAAAGAATTCAGACCAAAGGCGTTGCGTTGTGATTGAAGAACTAACCTGTGAGGTTCATGTTGATGTGATTTCCACCACCTGCATCCTCGTTAATCTGAGTCACCGAGAAGAAATAACCTTTGTAGATTGAAGCACCTAAATTAGGGATAAGAACTATCCTCGTTAAAATTAGCTATACACGGCGTTGGAGATGGAATCAAAGAGAAGAACCTTGGTAGATTGAAGCTACTGAATAAAGGAGAAGCATTGTCCTTTGTACACTCGAATGATGATACCTTCCATCTTCGAGAAGAAGGGTGGGTCGGTGATGGAACTCAAATTATCCTTCGGAAGAACGAGATGCAAAGCGAAGATATGAAACAATGATAAGTTCATCCCACATCGCTGGTGGGAACATTATTTAGAGGCAAACTTATTCTATAAAAGCAGCTTGTATCTCTTAGAAATCCAAACCAAGCTATGCTAGCAAGTTTGCTCCTTTGAGCTGGCGGGTTTCTTAATTTTTACTGGTCCGATTAGGGTCCGAGTTGGTCCGATTTGGACCGAATTGGATCGGTTTTGACTGATATTGACCAAGGCTGATTAATTAACCTTCTAACACCTATTCGTAGGCAGTTGGAGGCCGCTAAGCGCCTAGACATTGATTAATCGGCCGCCTAGACCGATTTTTACAATACTGATATATATATATATATATATATATATATATATATATATATATATATATATATATATAGAGAGAGAGAGAAAAAGAAAGGCGAGATCAATGGCGAACTTCATTGAAGAAGCGAACCAACAAATACCTTGAATCGATTGCTTTTTTGATGGATTACTTTCGTTCCTCGCAGTTATAGAACATTTTAATTAGTTGTGTTTTGATGGAAAAGGTCTTGTAATTAAGAATATCCTGTGGCAAAAATAATGGTCGATTATGCTCTATGTTTTGGGTTTCTTTTCAAGTGGGTTTTTAAGTGAAGTTACAAATCAA